TGTTCCAGTAATAATGAAAATGGAGATCCCCTCTGGCACTGTTCTTCATCCCTTTAAAGTGGTGGTTCTCCCATGGAGGCTATAGATATAACATGGGGGACCTAGGACGACTGTGGCTTATAGTAAGTTTTGGTTTTACTCAATTACTGAGCAAGCCTCAATGAAACATTTCACTATTAAGATAAGAATTCTACTGTATCAAGCTGGTAATAGAAAAATAAATAAATTAATTAAAAAAAAAAGTAGTGGTTCTCAACCTTCCTAACACTATGGCCCTTTAATACAGTTCATTGTGTTGTGGTGACCCCCAACCATAAAATTATTTTCATTGCTACTTCATAACTGTAATTTTGCTACTGTTATGAATCATAATATAAATGTTTTCTGATGGTCTTAGGGTAACCCTTGTGAGAGGGTCCTTTGACCCCCAAATGGGCTGAGAAGGGCTGCTTTAAATTCTCACTCTCTATGCACCTGTCAGTAAGATACTTTTTAAGTTGATAAGTATTTCTATGGTGGTATTTTATTTGTACTGAAATGTGATTTTATTTGTATGTTAATAAATAAAGTTGCCTGGGGGTCAGAGCTAATAGCAAGCCATAGCAGAGCTGGGCGTTCGTGGCGCACGCCTTTAATCCCAGCACTTGGTAGGCAGAGCGAGGTAGATCTCTGTGAGTTCAAGGATACAGCCAGCATTGGAAACACACGCCTTTAATCTCAATACCATAGAAGACCTGGAGGGCTGTACTTACAGGCCGTGACGAGGTGGTCATGTGGTTGGTTTTACAACCAATGAGAAGGCAGAACAGAAAGTCTTTATAAAGACAGACAGGAAGTAGGTCCCTTTCAGAGAGGTCTCTTGGTTGAAGAGGCTAGCTGCAGCAGGCGGGTAAGGCTCTTAGCTCTGATCTCTTGGCTTTCTTCTTTGCATTGGTTCTGTGTTTCTTATTTAATAAGACGGTTGGTTACATCTACATATTTCTAAGTCCAAGGAAAATATTCCAAAAATCCATGTAGACTTAGAACATGACGGCCAGGTTATTGTGCCTGTTTCTAGCTGGGTGGGCAGAGACGTATGGCACAGAGCACCTGCAGTAGAGAAGCTGCATGGTCCTGCAGCTCCCCAGACAGATGGTTACGAGTTGAGCATCCAGGTCATTAGGCATAGCTATCAGAAATAGAGACTCAATACAGGACTCCCCACTTTCTCCCTCTGTTGTTACATTAGTTACTTTTCTCATTGTGGGGAAATACTTAGCAAATCCAACTTAAAGAGAGAAGCACTTATGGCTCACAGTTTGAGGGTAGAGTTCATCACAGCAGGGGAGTCTTGTCTGCAGGAGCATGAGGCAGCTGCTCATATTGTAGCTGTGGTTCAGAAGCGAGGAGAGATGAATCCTGATGTTAAGGTTGCTTTCTCCTTCTTTTATCATCCAGGACCTCAGCCCAGGAAACGGTGCTGCCCACATGTAAGGTGGGCTTTCCCTTGATAGCTAAGCTGGTCTAGAAACCCTAACAGCCATGCCCAGAGCTTGTCTCCTGGCAATTACAAATGCTGTCAAGCTGACAATATAACTCATCACCAAGTGTTCAGAACAAACTGAGAAATGCAGAAGTCACACAGAGGGAGAAAAACATGTCTCCATTTGTATACTCACTATGCTTTTTAGAGACTATGACACAGTTTTTGAAAAATGCAGAAATAATTGTAATGTAGAATAAGACAGATTTACCCAACCAGAGCCGGCCAACTGGGAGCCTCCAACTGTCCCCATAAAACTGACAGCATGGGGGAACAGATTATTTTCCAAACAGAAACCAGGAACGGAGCCAAGCAAACTCAGCAGCCACATGAGTCATTCTTCTCCAAGGAACAAGATTGAAAGTGGCTTCCAATCTGATATCCCTGTACTGACCCATCACTGGTTCAAAGCCATCCTAGAGCTAGGCACAGACTTGGAGTGCTCTTGGGACACTTGATTGTCGGGACACTAATGTTTTTGTTTTTTTTTTTCCGTACAGGAGACAGATTTTGTCTGTTTTGAAGGAGGAAGAGATGATTTTGATAATTATAATGTAGAAGAACTTTTAGGGTCTTTGGAACTGGAAGACTCTGCATTTGATGAGTCTGAGAAAGCTAAAGAAGTTTCTCAGCATGGAGTGAAATCTCCTGAAGGAGCTCAGGAGACTGAACTTGACCCTACCCCTGAGCCTGAGCCGGTCAAAGCTGACTCAGGGGAAAGAGAAGGTGCATTCTCAGAGAGCACTGAGGAACTGCAGGAACAGCCCTCAGCTCAGGAGAGCCACCCTCGTGCCAACAGTGCAGCAGATGACGCTCAGGGAGTGCAGTCTTCACTGGACAATTTTGAAGAAATGCTGCACGATAAGTTAAAAGTGCCAGGAAGTGAAAACAGAACCAGCAATAGCTCTCCCGTCTCAGCGGAGCAGGAGAAGATGGATGCTTACAAAGTCCTGAAAACGGAAATGACTCTTGACTTGAAAACCAAGTTTGGCTCAACCGCCGATGCACTGGTGTCCGACGATGAGGCAACCAGGCTGGTCACTTCATTAGAAGATGATTTCGATGAAGAACTGGATGCTGAGTATTACCCAATGGAGAATGAAGAAGAGGAGAACGTGGACAGCTTTGATGAGCTACCATTACTATCCTTTGCAGATGAAGAAGATGAGAAAGCCCCTGGGAAACCTGGGATGGAGAAATATTCAACAGATAAGGATCCGAACTTGAGTGAAGAGGATAAAGTTAAACCCACTCTGCCTCCTGGAATCCAAAGTGACAATAAAGATTTATTGACAACTTGGGGGGATACTTTGTTCTCTATTGTCACAGGAGGTGAAGGAAAAACAGGTGAGGTAGGTTTAGAGAGTTCTAACCCAGAGGAAGACAAGAAGGAGGATGTGCTGGTTTCAGCTAGCCGTGAGAAGAAACCGCAGTCAACAGCTGGCTATGTGGACCCCGAGGATGAAGAGGATGATCTTTTTGTAGAAGTCTCCAAAACCAGTGGTGAGAAGGACTCAGAAACAGACCAAGATCATGTCATTACAGGAGAAGAAAAGCCAATACAGGACTCCAGGAGAGGCCTGTCACACCATGAGTCCAAAGCAGAGGTTGTCGAGTCAGAAACGGTGAGTGCTTATCAACCTCAGAGTAGCAAGCTTAACCCTCTGCCAGCTGCTGAAAAGGGCAAAGAATTTACATTAAAAGCAGTCTTTGAAAAAAAAGAAAATGGCCTAAAAGAACCAGTTATCCATATCTCAAAAGAAACACCCCACGAAGAGAAGACCGGAGAGAGCTTCGAGAGTGAATCGGTACCCAGAGCTGTGGTGAGTCCAGGGACAGAAAACAGCAGCAAACATGAATCATTGGGTGCCACACCACTCTTAGGAGATCATCAGCCTGATGCATCCAAGGACAGTACGGAAGTCGCAGGCGCTTCCGTCAGTGGGCCAAAAGTGGACCAACAGGAGGGATTTCAGAATCAACCTGGATTCTCCTCTCCAGAGGAAACTGCTCTTTCAAGAGAACTAAGGGAGAAAGTTCCTACTATGGGAAGAAATCTTTCTTGGCAGCAGCAAGAGAGAGATGTAGCTGTTGTAGAGGGCAGGGAAGACCCTGCAGATGTGGAACCACCCCACCCCCGGGCCATACAAGGGACACCGGAGGTTGATAGCCGGGAAGTACCCAGTGTCCAAATCCAAAGGCCAGAAGCAGAGGAGGACGCTTATCCCCCTGAGGAGCTACTAGAGGATGAAAATGCTGTGAGCGCACGGCAGTCTAAAGAGAACCACCCCAGGGTTCAGGACAGGAGGTCAGATATGAATTCTCAGGTTTTTGAAAAAGTAATTTTGGGGACCCTTAATCTTGACACTGAAGAAAACAAGCAAGCAACTAATATGATTGTGGAGACTGGAAAAAAGAGTAAAACTACATCAGAAGAGGCAGATGGTACAGGCAAGGAGTTGGGCAGTGTGGTGGGGGACAAAGAAAAAAGCCATCTGGCAGCTGTGGGAGCTCAGGGGCCATCTGAAGTCGATGGCCTCCATGAGAAGATGCCAGCTCCCACTGCAGGCTTCGGGGAAGCCATCCAGAGTAAAGATCCTGATGCCCTACAAAAAGACAACCCCGAGGAACTAGTCAACACCTTGGGACTTGAGGAGATTCCTGGGGGAGAAGAGACGTCAGAAGGGGATCCTGAGGATCCTGAGGAGTTTGGAGGCTCAGAAAGCCGGGTGCCTGATGCTGAAGGCATTGGAGATGGCTCACCCCAACAAGCTACACCTGAAATTCCTGACATAGTGCTGAAGAGCGTGAGAGAAGACTTGCCCATCATAAGCAGCTTCTTCAAGGACCAGAAGTCCCTGTATCGCTTCCTGAAGTACTTTGATGTCCACGAGCTGGAGGGCATGCTGCAAGATATGTCAATAAGGCTGAAATCAGCACATCGGGACAGCCTGCCCTACAATGTGGAAAAAGTCCTGGATAAAGTCTTCCGTGCCTCTGAGTCACGAATTCTAAGTGTGGCAGAGAATATGCTTGATAATCGAGTGACCAAAAATAGAGATCTGGGGACACAAGAGAACAGCTTGTTAGAAGAAGCTGCGGTGTTGGATGATGTACAAGACCTGATCTATTTTGTCAGGTACCAACACTCTGGAGTGGAGACTGCTCCACTGGCCACACCTCCACCTCAGGAGGAAGGCGAGGCTGGACCAATAGAAGGTAAAGTACCTGCCTATGACCTTGTGGAGTTAGCAGGAGCAGGGTGGTGGGGAGGGGATGTGTGTTTAGGGTGGGGGTATACTCAAGTGCTTCATTGGCTGTTTGTAAAATTTGAGTCACACTTTTCATGTGTTTGAAGGAGAGGGTCTAGACCTACAGGGCCTCCCTTTCCAGCTTCCTTTTAGGCTGAACATGAGTGCAGATTGTACTCCATTCCCAATACCATTTTCTTTTTCCTTCCATAGAACAGCTGGAATTGTTTTTCATTTTCAAAAGGAAACTTTATAAAAAATCTTAAGATGTAACCAAGAAAATAATTCACAAAGTAAAACTCCTAACAAAGTACAGCTTTCATATAAGGTTATAAAAGGGGCTTTATTGAACACAATTTCTTCATGTAGTTATTTATTTATACTCACATATATTCAGCATTGTACTGCTTTCATAACATTCTAAATATGCAAAGTACTTCAAGCATGTCCCTTCTCTACACCATTCTACCCTTCCTTTTCTCACCCTTCCCTATCCAGTTGGCCTTCTTTGTTCCTCTAGACAGAGAAGTTTCAATTTTCATGTCTTATATGTATAAATATATATATGATTTTATGTACCTATATAAATCCTGAGATCCAGAAATAAGAGGAAATGTGATGTCTCTCCTTTGGAGACAGACTTAATTCACTTAATATAATTTCTGGTTGCATCCATTTTCCTGCAAATGATATAACCTCATTCTTCTTTATGACAGAAAAGATCCTACAGTATATACGTCCTACATTTTCTTCATCTGTCCCTCTATTGTTGAACACCTAGGTTGTCTCCATAACACAGAGTTGTGACTAAGGTTACAGTAAACATTGATGTGCAATATATCTCCAAGTTATGTTGTCTTGGAGTCCATTGGGTGAATACTCAGGAGTGGTGGAGCTGGTGCATATGGTAGACTTATTTTTAGTTTTTTGATTTCCATAGTAGCTGGAGTAGTTTTCATACCTGCCAGCAATAAATAAAGGTTCATGTTTATCATATCCTCACCAGCATTTGCTTTCTTACTGACCACTGTTCTGGCTGGGGTGATGTAGAATCTCAATAGTTTCAATGTTCATTTCTTTGGTGGCTCGTGAGGCTGAACATCTGGTTATTATCTAGTCTTCTGAGTTCTTTGTATATTCTAGGTTGAATTGTAGGGAACAAAAGTTTCTTCCCATTCTGTCTTGCTTCTTTACTTTATCACTTCCTTTGCTGAGCAGAAGCTTTTTAAGTTGATGAAATCCCATTTGCCACTTGCTGGCCTTATTTCCCAAGTGACTGGAATCCTTTTGAGAGTCCTCGATATACATGTATCTTGGATAGTTTCCTAACAGTAACTGCTTTTTATACAAGGATTGGCCAAAACAGCTCATTAAATGGATGCCGTGTGTGAAATCCTTCACTCCTAATTTTCATCTTTTGTGGGGGTCCTGCTGTTTCCTGCTTCTTAGGGACAGTGGTTTTCTCCAGTTATACTTCACTGGGCCCTGGGGTTCTTAGGTTAATCAAGGCCGGAACCAGGACACGGAGCTTTCTAACAGTACTGGACAAATAGAAGTACCTATCTGTTGAACTGACCCCAGGATACCTGTCATAAGCTCCTGATTCCTAGTTACACATTATATTCTTTGTATCCATGCTTTACAAATAGAAGTAGCTGCATTGCAAGTGATTGGTGATGGACACAGAGTCACAGGAATAGCTGTCTTCCTAGAGGTAATTTTCCTGAGAATTGGGAGAAGTGAGCATTTTTTAAAATCAAATCTTTTGGTTAAGAATGGAAAATTCAGGTTGGAGAGATGGCTCAGCAGTTAAAAGAGAATTGGTTTCTGTGGCAAAGGATCTGATTTCTGTTTTCAGCACCCACATGGCAGCTCACAACCATTATACCTCCAGTTCCAGGAGATCTGATGCCCTCTTCTGGCCTCTGTGGACACTGCATGCACATGCAGACAAAATACCCATACACGTAAAATAACTTTTTCTAAAAAAAAAAAAAAAAAAAAAAAAAAAAAAACCAAAAACTCAAATTAAGTTTTTGGTGTAAAATATGAGGCTGCAAAGATGCACTCAGGCTCATAGGGAAGGCAATGGGCCCATTCCCTGTTGCTTGGCAGTCGTTTGATAGTATTTGAAAGATACTTTGGCAAGCTGCCCATGTGCAGAATGCCCTTCTCTGTATGAGCTCTGTGAGCCCAGCTGCCTGTGTATGAAGGAGGTTATGAGCCCAGCTACCTGTGTATGAAGGAGATTATGTTCTGCATGTGGCTCTTGGGTTCTGTGCTGGACTGGAATTCTCTTCTACATGTCTGTGTGGGCACATGCTGCCTTGCCATGGCAAGTCATTGGAGTCTTTTTTTTTTTTTTTTTTTGGTTTTTTCGAGACAGGGTTTCCCTGTGTAACAGAGTCCTGGCTGTCCTCGAACTCACAGAGATCTTCCTGCCTCTGCCTCCCGAGTGCTGGGATTAAAGGCGTGCACCACCACCACCACCACCACCACCACCACCACCACCCAGCTCATTGGAGTCTTTTCCATGAATGTGTTTATGAAACACTGTGGAGTGAAGGCTTCTTTGTAAATCTGTACTTCAGTCATTGTTAATCTATAGGGAAGAGTTTAAAACTCTTGCTTCCTTTTTCACTTGTGTACACATGATCCAGGGCGTTGGGCTATGTGATGAGGGCGTGCTGGTCAGTTGGATGAACCAAAATGGATCTGTGATCAAGCTCTCTCCATGTGTTCTTCTCCAGAGGTGCAGCCACTCCAGCAGGACAGCTTACCACAAGAAAACACAGGAGATCTTAGTGTGCAGCTTCCGGAGGAGCATGCTGGACTCTTGGATCAACCTGGGACCGGTGTGCAGCTTCCAGAGGAGCCTGGACTCTTGGATCAACCTGTGACCGGTGTGCAGCTTCCAGAGGATCCTGGACTATTGGATCAACCTGGGACTGGTGTGCAGCTTCCAGAGGATCCTGGACTCTTAGATCAACCTGTGACCGGTGTGCAGCTTCCAGAGGAGCCTGGACTGTTGGATCAACCTGTGACCGGGCACATGAGTGCCTCAGAGGTGTCACAGAAGCCAAATACTGAGAAAGACATAGATCCAGGTAAAGTTCATAATTTTTTTTCTCTACAAAGTAGACATGTATTATAAAGAAGCCTGCTAAGACTATTTATTCTCAAAGGCAGAAAAGATAGAACAATCCAGGTATGTATAAGATTTAAAAGTCTCCCATAAGTAACAGAAAAGAGTTCGGGTGCGTGGAGGTCGCAAACAGGAAAGAAGCCAGGGGCTGTCACTAACTTGCAAACCAGTGTTTGGCTACAAATCATCTCAGTGGGACCCTGAGCTCTTGTCCTTCAAAGCCACATGCTCTAAAGCAGAGCTTGCTGGCCCGGGGACAGCGGTCTGTATGAAGTAGGCTCCCAGGAAAGGCTGACGGGCACCAGTCTGAACTCCTGGCCCTGGTTCTCCCTCTTCACCCTACTCCTCTGAACGGCAATAGTGATTCAGTTGCTTTTTTGATTTGTTGCCTCGATAGAGCAAATACAGCTTTTTAAAGATTCTGTGAAGGATCCCAGGTGTCTTTTGATAGTGTGCTTTGAGGAAACAATTCGGGAACGACAGTCCAGACCAGACTGACACTTGTAATTGTAAATACTTGATTTACAGCACACAGCAAATATTGGTGGAGAGAAAAGGTGGATTTCCCCCCTAACATCCTCAATAACGGTTTCAGTGGCTTTCTAGTTGTTGTACAGCTCACTCTCATTTCACTTAAAGCTCCCATTGTGTTATTCTGCCATCCAATACAGTACTATGGGGACGTCACTCCTGGAGTGCTTTAGAGGGGGAGGGGTTGTTTTTCATAGTCCTGGGGATCATACTCAGGGCCTCCTGCTTGTTAGGCTAGTGTGTTACCACTGCCTGCCAGCTCCAGCAGTATTCTGTGTGTTTGGGAGAGTGTGAAGCACAGCTGTGGCATGAGTCTGTAGACGTGAAGAGTCTGGTCTCACTAGAGTAGCAGCCCTGCTCTCCAGCTAATACACAAAAAGTAGGAAACATCGAAGCGGAGAAGTCTAGATGAGCAAGAGTGAATGATGTGTCAGGGACTTCCACGTTCCAGAGGACGTCATGGGCACGTGTAATTTTCCAAGTTCTTCTTAATTCTGAAAGGTCCTGTTTACTGAAAACAAGTCACGAGTCACACCACTGAGATTCACTGGACTTTTGCTCGAAGCCTTCAGGAGTGGGAAAGGTGGTGCTTGCAGGACAGAGTCTTTGTTGTGGCTCCTCCCATAGAGTGCCGGCTGCCTCCCCAGGCAGGCCTTCCCAGTGCCACAGCATGCACCTCAGGTGCTAGGGTGCTCACCCAACTGGGGAAATGCCACCCACTGTCAGCACTAGGTCAATACCGAACTGAATTTCATGGTTGGGACCCCTAGACCCCTAGAAGGTCCAGTCCAGCCTTTCACTAACTGCTGTTGACAAGACATGCCAGGCTCATGTAATGCAAGTCGAAATACCTTCCCTCCCCTCCCCTCCTGTGTGGAATCCTCTCAGGTATAACTGGGCTCTCCTTCTTTCACAAAGCTTCTACAGATGCCAGTTTCCACTCTGCAGAGAATTCTTCTGCATCATCCCTGGTATCTGCCATATTTCACCAAGTTGTCCCTGTCCATAAACTAAATATGAAGTACCCGAGACATGCCAGCTATGCTAAGCCTTAGTGTATTCTATCTGCGAGCCTTTTTCCTTTTCCTTAATGTTTTAATTTAGTGTGTGTGTGCGCCATGGGGCACATGTGGAGAAGACAACTTTCAGGAGTCAGATCTCTCCTTCTGCTATGCGGTTGCAGGGATCAAACTCGAGTTATTAGGACTGGCTGAATGTGATTGTGTCTGCGTGGTTTTGTTTGATGGTGCTGGTCTTTTTGATTTGTTTTGGGTTTTGTTGGTGGGTTAGTTGGTTTGGTTTTGTGGGGATGTTTTTGTTTGTTTTGAGACAAGATCTCACTCTTTAGACCAGGCTGGCCTTGAACTCATAGAGATCCTCCTGCCTCTGCTTCCTGAGTATGGGATTAAAAGCATGCACCAACCATGCCTGGCAATTCTGTCTATATGGAGAAACCATACATTTGGGGGTTTGTTTGTTTTCAATTCCCCTGAATGGACAGGAGACATGATGAGGTACTCTGAATAGTAGTGATTTTATTTTTATTAAAGATTTATTTATTATGTATACGAAAAAGGGTGCCAGATCTCATTACAGATGGTTGTGAGCCACCATGTGGGTGCTGGGAATTGAACTCAGGACCTCTGGAAGAGCAGTCGGTGCTCTTAATCTCTGAGCCATCTCTCCAGCCCCAATTTTATTTTTATAAACAAAGGGTCTGATGGATCCCTTTAAGATCCCGGAGTCTTTTGCTTTTCTCTGTGTAATTTTCCTTAGGAGACTCAAATATTCTATGCTTAATGACTATAACATTTAGAGGATACTAAGCGAACATTTAAATATGGAGAAACAATTCTTATTCTAAAGCATGTCTTTTGCCTCCTTTTAGATTTCCTTGTAACCAAAGTCTCTCCTGCTGGGGCTGGTGATGCAGAAAAGCGCCTGGAGACAAGGGCAGAGGAGCCAGCCAATATCTCACCTCTGGAAAACACACTTGGTTCCTTGTATTCCTTCATTCTTTATTTAAGTAAGATGGTAAGTCTGATACAGTTTCCTCATCTAGAACATTGATTAATACAGGGATGTATTACAGGGAGGAGGTATGAGTGAGAAAAGACATCAGGTCTTTTGTTGGCCAGGCTGGTCTCAAACGCACTATGCAGCCAAGGCTGACCTTGAACTCCTGATCCTCCAGCTAACACTGCCCAAGTGTTGATGCTATAGACATGGCCCACCACCTTGGCTTGATTTATAGCAGGTTTTAAGTTGAATCTGACTTCACTTGAGTGAAGAACTGAAAAGTGTCTTTATGAACTCTGCCCCTGAACCTCTGAAGGTGACTCCCAAGAAGAGCCACAGGTGGATGGCTTTAATTAGGGGCTCTTAGTTTAGCACAGGAGAATTTACTGCCTGGCAAGGCTGGGCAGGTATACACCTATAAAGCGTGGTTTGCCTCCTGGGGACCTTTCAGTACCCTAGGGAACTGGAGATGTTCACTTGACACAGAAGACATGGTTTTTGTCAGGGTTGGTTAAGAAGGAAGACGGGTTAGGAGTTAGCTGAGATGTTTTAGGCAGAATTAAAGGGAACACGAAGTATAATATGTTATTGAGTAGAATGGATGGAAAGGGTGATAGGAGCAACAGGGGCAGAGGAGGCATGTTCAGAGGAAGGGAAGCACGAAGAAAAGGGGATGTTGGGAAACTAGGGAAGTTGTGGGTCTGTGGAGGGAGACCGGCCACATCACGAAAGGCAATCTGTGTGCCCTGAGTTCTGTCAGGCTGTCAGTGTTGGCACCCTTTGAAGGTCTGAAACAGGGACGTGGTCAGATCTGTTTCCTAGAAAGAGCTATGGTGGCAAAATGTTTATTCAGGATAATCTTTCTGAAGAGAATCGAGATCCAAGAAAGACATTTAGCCATCTCTATTAGCTTAGCCAAGTGTGGGGGATGTAGCTCCCCCTTGCGGTGAGTGTGGACAGTGGACATTTTTCTAGGTAAATTGGATGAGGCTGGAGGCCAAAGTGATTGATGCCAGGACTGCACAGTGGTCCCCTGTAGGGCCTGTAATTTTGAGGCTGTGTAATAGTGTTTTGCTGTTAGTGTTTTCTATAAACAGGTTTTGAGTCAGGAATGTCTGATTTCAAATCCCAATTTAAAAGTTTGTGCAAATTACTAAACCTGGTTTAACTGAAGTATAAGAACTGTACATCTTTATGGTGTGGGTTCTGGTAAGTTGATAGATGTGTACATTATGTAATGATCAAATCAGGGTTATAATCAGGACAATGATCATTTCTATGTGTACTCGTGGGTCTTTTTTTTTCAAGTGTTTTTACATTTATGTATGTATTTACTTAATTTTGTGCATACCTATGTGTGAGGCAGTCAGAGGACAATTTGCTGGAGTCATCTCCCTCCTTCTACCTTGTGGGTTCTGGGAACCAAATCCAGGTCATCATCGGAGTTGGCAGCAAGCATCTTCACCTGTGGAGCCATCTCTCCAGTCCACTCTTAATCATTTGAAAAACTTCATAACCTGTGACACAGAAAACTCAGAGCTAGCTCCACTGTGCTTTTCTGCTCCTCACTGAATTCCTTCCTGTCCTCCCGACTTCCCCTCCCATCTCTACCAACCACTGTTCCACTCTTTTTTTCTCTAAGACAGAGAATAGCAAATGGCTGAACTTGGAACCTCAGCTTCCTTATCTGAAAGGTACAAATAAGAAACAATGACCAAGTGATGTGAAGTGTGAAGTGCCTGGGGAGGTGTCTGGCATTCTGTGGGATTTCCTTCCCAGTCCTGGTTCTTTTTTATAGTCAGGGCAGTGTAAAGATGTTGACTACCCAGCAAACCCAGGGGAGAGGCTGCCTGGATGAGAAAGAAGGAGCAGAGCAAATCCATCTTCAGTTTTCTCCATGGTTACCTATGCTGGTGGCAGCTGCCTGGCAAAGGTGTGATGGCTCTGAGCCGTTACAGTTAGGATGCTTCTGGTGACTGACCCAGACTCAGGAGTAGCCTTTGAGCAGCACAAGGAGTCAGTAGTTGGAAGTGGGAGGAAGTCTGTCTTTCTTACATTTCTAGACATGTACAGGACTCTCTTCTTGGTCTGAGTTAGAGACAGATATGGTACAGGATATAGCCTCCACTTGTAAGGTGATTGAGGAAGACAGTCATAAAAGACAAGAAGGGATGCAGTGTTACAAGATTTGGCTTAAAGGGTATGCTCCAAAAAGCGTTTTAATGGCTCAATATGCACAAGGCATCTGCTAGAAACCAAAGGTTCTGTTATGGGGGTTAGCAAGACAGCTCAGCAGGTAAAGGCACCTGCTGCCAAGTCTGACGTCCCAAGTTCAATCCCACATCCCATGTTGTGGAAGGAGAACCAGTGCCTGTAAGTGGTCCTCTGGCCTCCACATGTGCCGTGACACGCACATGCACATGCATACCTACCCACAAATGAACAAATGTAATAAAAGGGATTCTACTATGGGCCAAGCACAGTCCTGATTTTTGAAAAGCTTGTGAGGGTAGGATATGTGAAAATGAGAACCTATGAATGAGGCATGAAGTTTCCAACATGGAGCATAGTTACCTGGAAGGGGATGAGTTCTGCTTTACTTAGGGGAAATGCAGCATCACAGGTCAGCTTCATGGGTCAGATGTTAGCTGACACTTGGAATCCTCCAACTAGAAGGGACTTTGGAAGATGACCGCCCTAGTGTCTCACTAATTACAGTAATTTCCTGACAGGTCACTATGAGGTCTGTGCATTAGCAATTCTTTTAAATTTGCTTATTTTTGAAGTTTAATACAGATATATATTGTGTGTTCAGCATTTCCCCACGACCCCTCTGCTCACCCTTTCCCATCCCTCTGGTTAGTCCTCTCCATTCTCCTGGACAGTCTCACTCCTATTTTCACGTCATATAGACATGCATGCTTTTACGTGTCCAGTTAACATTCAGGGACTGTCAATGATAGGAAGCCCATCTGTCTTCTGAGACTGGCTTAGTTCATTTAATGATATATCTCTAGTTGGATCTACTTTCCTGCATGCATCAGTAATTCTTAGTGTGAGCCATCGCCTTTCAGGGCCACACATTCTTCTGTGGCCAATCATTTTTATATTGACTCAAAATTTCCTTCTCTATGAAATATAGATATAAGATGTAATTCCTTTCCCACACAGCAATCCTTTGACTATGTGAAACTGTATCCTGTTTTAAATTGTTAGGGTTGTTTTGTTTTGTTTGAGACAGGGTTCCTCTACATAGCTCTAGCTGTCCTGGAATTCAGTATATAGACCAGGATGGCCTCAAACTCACAGAGATCTGCCTGTCTCTGCCTCTACAGTGCTGGAATTAAAGGTGGGAGCTGCCATGTCCAGCTTTTTAATATTTTGTCATGAAAATTTCAAACAGAAGCAGAGAGACTACCCAGGTGACCAACTAAATTAGACCACCTAGGTGACCAACATTAGATGGCAACACTGTAGCATTCATTTTCAGATCTGCAAGGATTCTATAGGATTCTGCCATGTAGTAATAAGAACTGCTCGAGAGCCGGGCGGTGGTGGCGCACGCCTTTAATCCCAGCACTTGGGAGGCAGAGGCAGGCGGATCTCTGTGAGTTCGAGGCTAGCCTGGGCTACCAAGTGAGATCCAGGAAAGGCGCAAAGCTACACAAGAGAAACCCTGTCTCGGAAAAAACCAAAAAAAAAAAAAAAAAAAAAAAAAAAAAGAACTGCTCGAGAGCCAGCCGTCCAGTCTTTTCGACTTCTTCTGAGAAAGCCCATGTCTCAGACCAGTTACTTTGTAGGCTTTTTTTTTTTTTCTCTAAGAGTTATGATGTGAGAGCCTTAAACATATTTAGTTCTTAACCTTTTCCCCGGTGGTCAGTATTCTTATTTTCCCATCCTGTTTAATGTATTTGGAAACCATATCCTAGCACCATATACAATTACTATTGCTGTTGGTATTCTGAGACAGGGTCTTTGTGGTCTGAACTGGCCTGGAAGTCACTTCTGTAGCCCAGGCTACCCTCAGAGCTCTAGCTATCTTCCTGCCTTGGCCTCCCAAGTGCCAGAACTGCTGGTGTGAGCCTCCACTCCTACCTTACTTTTTAAAATTTTATTTAAATTATTTTTATTTTATGTGCATTGATGCTCTGCATGCATGTATATCTGTGTGAAGGTATCAGATCTTGGAGTTACAGGCAATTGTGAGCCGCCATGTGGGTACTGGGAATTGAACCCAGGACCTCTGGAAAAGCAGTCAGTACTCTTAACCTCTGAGCCATCCCTCCAGTCCCCTTACTTTTTTTTTTTTTTTTTTTT